ACAAACAAAATTTTTTCTTAAATGGTAGAGTAAGAAAAGGAGCGGTTTCAAGTACACCAGCTTGGACACGCACACACACACACACACACCCATACACGCACACACACACACACGCACACACACACACACACACGCACACACACAGAGCATACCAACCAAACAGTCAACCAAACTACCAACGAAACAACCGAACAACCAACCAACCAACGAATTTTACAACCGATCTATCAACCAAACAGCCAAAGTATCAACCTTTCAACCAACCTACCAACCAGCCAGCCAAAAAACCAAACATACATACAAACAGATGTACAAAAAAAAATAAATACGCATATGCACGTGTTTTTGAGTGAGTAAGTGTATAGCCTGCCTGATATACATATGAAATGAAACAAATGAATAAAGTTTTAATTTAATTTAAATCAGATAAAAATGTAATTAAATAATAAACAAACAGGCAAACAAACAAACAATAAAACAAACAAACTAACAAATCGACAAACAATACAAACAAACCAGCAGACAGACAAAAACAGACTAACAAGAAAAAAATTTGTGTTTGTGTTTGTGTGTGTGTGTGTGTGTGTGTGTGGTGTGTGTGATATAGACATAGGAAATGATGAAATTAAAGGAATAAAATAAACCAAAACTTTATTTAAAACCATCCGGTTAAAAATATATTTAAATAATTAACTCCAACACTAAGCTTATCTATGGAAACTGTGTGAATGAATGGATGGATGAACGAACGAACGAACGAATGGTTGAATGAATGAACGAACAAACGACCAAATGAATGAATGAATGAACGGATAAACGAATGAGCGAACGAATGAATGAATAAATGAATGAGTATATAAATATATATAGACGTACACAAACATTTACATGTACATATATATATTTTAAAATTGTTCAAGTATGGAGCGGTGGCAAGTAAATTTGGAATTCATAACGACAAATATGTACAATTGTAAATACACAGGCATACAAATATCTAAAATAATTTTTTAAATAATAAATCTATTTAATAATTAAATACAAATATTATTAATTGCGTGTGTACGTTATCCGGTTTTCAAACCAAACGAGCCAATCAGGAAGTTAGGGTGGCGTTCCTTAATTTCCTACTAGTATAGAATTCATTCTAGTATAGTTAATATATTGTTGTTAAAAACCTATAATAATGT